GAGGTGTGGAGGTATGGAGGTGTGGAGGTATGGAGGTGTGGAGGTATGGAGGTGTGGAGGTATGGAGGTGTGGAGGTATGGAGGTGTGGAGGTATGGAGGTGTGGAGGTATGGAGGTGTGGAGGTGTGGAGGTATGGAGGTGTGGAGGTATAAAGGTGTGGAGGTGTGGAGGTATGGAGGTGTGGAGGTATGGAGGTGTGGAGGTATGGAGGTGTGGAGGTATGGAAGTGTGGAGATATGGAGGTGTGGAGGTATGGAGGTGTGGAGGTATGGAGGTGTGGAGGTATGGAGGTGTGGAGGTAGGTGTGGAGGTATGGAGGTGTGGAGTTGTGGAGGTGTGGAGGTATGGAGGTGTGGAGGTATGGAGGTGTGGAGGTATGGAGGTGTGGAGGTGTGGAGGTATGGAGGTGTGGAGGTATGGAGGTGTGGAGGTATGGAGGTGTGGAGGTATGGAGGTATGGAGGTGTGGAGGTGTGGAGGCATGGAGGTGTGGAGGTATGGAGGTGTGGAGGTGTGGAGGTGTGGAGGTGTGGAGGTGTGGAGGTGTGGAGGCATGGAGGTGTGGAGGTGTGGAGGTATGGAGGTGTGGAGGTGTGGAGGTATGGAGGTCTGGATGTATGGAGGTGTGGAGGTATGGAGGTGTGGAGTTGTGGAGGTGTGGAGGTATGGAGGTGTGGAGGTATGGTGGTGTGGAGGTATGGGAGTGTGGAGGTGTGGAGGTATGGAGGTGTGGAGGTATGGAGGTGTGGAGGTATGGAGGTGTGGAGGTATGGAGGTATGGAGGTGTGGAGGTGTGGAGGTGTGGAGGCATGGAGGTGTGGAGGCATGGAGGTGTGGAGGTGTGGAGGTGTGGAGGTGTGGAGGTGTGGAGGTGTGGAGGCATGGAGGTGTGGAGGTGTGGAGGTATGGAGGTGTGGAGGTATGGAGGTGTGGAGGTGTGGAGGTATGGAGGTGTGGAGGTATGGAGGTATGGAGGTGTGGAGGTATGGAGGTGTGGAGGTATGGAGGTGTGGAAGTATGGAGGTTTGGAGGTATGGAGGTGTGGACGTATGGAGGTGTGGACGTGTGGAGGTATGGAGGTGTGGAGGTATGGAGGTGTGGAGGTATGGAGGTGTGGAGGTATGGAGGTGTGGAGGTATGGAGGTGTGGAGGTATGGAGGTGTGGAGGTATGGAGGTGTGGAGGTATGGAGGTGTGGAGGTATGGAGGTGTGGAGGTGTGGAGGTATGGAGGTGTGGAGGTATAAAGGTGTGGAGGTGTGGAGGTATGGAGGTGTGGAGGTATGGAGGTGTGGAGGTATGGAGGTGTGGGAGGTATGGAGGTGTGGAGGTGTGGAGGTGTGGAGGTATGGAGGTATGGAGGTGTGGAGGTGTGGAGGTATGGAGGTATGGAGGTATGGAAGTGTGGAGGTATGGAGGTGTGGAGGTATGGAGGTGTGGAGGTATGGAGGTATGGAGGTATGGAGGTGTGGAGGTATGGAGGTGTGGAGGTATGGAGGTGTGGAGGTATGGAAGTGTGGAGATATGGAGGTGTGGAGGTATGGAGGTGTGGAGGTATGGAGGTGTGGAGGTATGGAGGTGTGGAGGTATGGAGGTGTGGAGGTATGGAGGTGTGGAGGTATGGAGGTGTGGAGGTGTGGAGGTATGGAGGTGTGGAGGTATGGAGGTGTGGAGGTATGGAGGTGTGGAGGTATGAAGGTGTGGAGGTGTGGAGGTGTGGAGGTGTGGAGGCATGGAGGTGTGGAGGTGTGGAGGTATGGAGGTGTGGAGGTATGGAGGTGTGGAGGTGTGGAAGTATGGAGGTCTGGAGTATGGAGGTGTGGAGGTATGGAGGTGTGGAGTTGTGGAGGTGTGGAGGTATGGAGGTGTGGAGGTATGGAGGTGTGGAGGTATGGAGGTGTGGAGGTGTGGAGGTATGGAGATGTGGAGGTATGGAGGTGTGGAGGTATGGAGGTGTGGAGGTATGGAGGTATGGAGGTGTGGAGGTGTGGAGGTGTGGAGGCATGGAGTGTGGAGGCATGGAGGTGTGGAGGTGTGGAGGTGTGGAGGTGTGGAGGTGTGGAGGTGTGGAGGCATGGAGGTGTGGAGGTGTGGAGGTATGGAGGTGTGGAGGTATGGAGGTGTGGAGGTGTGGAGGTATGGAGGTGTGGAGGTATGGAGGTATGGAGGTGTGGAGGTATGGAGGTGTGGAGGTATGGAGGTGTGGAGGTATGGAGGTGTGGAGGTATGGAGGTGTGGAGGTATGGAGGTGTGGACGTGTGGAGGTATGGAGGTGTGGAGGTATGGAGGTGTGGAGGTATGGAGGTGTGGAGGTATGGAGGTGTGGAGGTATGGAGGTGTGGAGGTATGGAGGTGTGGAGGTATGGAGGTGTGGAGGTATGGAGGTGGGAGGTATGGAGGTGTGGAGGTATGGAGGTGTGGAGGTGGAGTATGGAGGTGTGGAGGTATGGAGGTGTGGAGGTGTGGAGGTATGGAGGTGTGGAGGTATGGAGGTGTGGAGGTATGGAGGTGTGGAGGTATGGAGGTGTGGAGGTGTGGAGGTGTGGAGGTATGGAGGTATGGAGGTGTGGAGGTGTGGAGGTATGGAGGTATGGAGGTATGGAGGTGTGGAGGTATGGAGGTATGGAGGTATGGAGTGTGGAGGTATGGAGGTGTGGAGGTATGGAGGTGTGGAGGTATGGAGGTGTGGAGGTATGGAGGTGTGGAGGTATGGAGGTGTGGAGGTATGGAGGTGTGGAGGTATGGAGGTGTGGAGGTATGGAGGTGTGGAGGTATGGAGGTGTGGAGGTATGGAGGTGTGGAGGTATGGAGGTGTGGAGGTATGGAGGTGTGGGAGGTGTGGAGGTATGGAGGTGTGGAGGTGTGGAGGTATGGAGGTGTGGAGGTATGGAGGTGTGGAGGTATGAAGGTGTGGAGGTGTGGAGGTATGGAGGTGTGGAGGTATGGAGGTGTGGAGGTGTGGAGGTGTGGAGGTATGGAGGTGTGGAGTTATGGAGGTGTGGAGGTATGGAGGTGTGGAGGTGTGGAGGTGTGGAGGTATGGAGGTATGGAGGTATGGAGGTGTGGAGGTATGGAGGTGTGGAGGTGTGGAGGTGTGGAGGTATGGAGGTGAAGGTGGGGAGGTATCCCTATCCCCTCTATCCCTATCCCCTCTATCCCTATCCCCTCTATCCCTATCCCCTCTATCCCTATCTCCTCTATCCCTTCCCCACATCACTATCCGACATATCCCTTATCCATATTCCGGATCCACATCGCCCTATCCCACATACCCCTATTCCACATACCCCTATCCCACCACCGCACGTCCCATGCCTCCCTCCTTCCCCCCTTCCCTCTGTTCCACCACCCTCTGTTCCACCACCCTCTGTTCCACCACCCCCATGTAGTAACTCATAGACGTGGTGGGGGCAGTGCGGGTGATAATGGCCGTGCTACTGGCAGCGCTCGCGAGAGTCCTCCCGAGGCAGAGGGGCGTGTTTTATCTCCTGGCAGGGCAGCAGGCGGTGCTGCCAGCAAGATTCCCCTTTGCCCCGCCCTTCATGCCCATGCCTCCTCCACCTCCCCCATGCAGTCACTCATAGACGTGGTGGGGGCAGTGCGGGTGATAGTGGCGGTGCTGCTGGCGGCGCTGGCCCGGATCGTCCTGAGGCAGCGGGGCGTGTTCTACCGCCTGGCAGGGCAGCAGGCGCGCCTCATAGACGACGTCACGGGCACGCTGCCGCCGTACGACCAGTTCATCACACTGGGGCCTGTGAGTGCCGCCCCTCGACCCTGCTCTGCCTGTGCTGCGCCTTGCTAAGCCTGGCACTCACTAGCGCCTCATAGACGTTGTCACTGGCTCGCTGCCGCCGTACGACCAGTTCATCACACTCGGGCCTCTGAGTGCCCCACCACCCTCGTCTCCTCTTGTCCACTGCACCCCCTCCCTGCTCCCACACACAACCCACACACACCACACCGTTCAAAATCAATCCCACACTAAACTGCATCGTACACCGCAGCACAGCTGCCATTCCTCCAGTCCAATCGCCCAACCTCATACCAATCTTCAACTGTACCACCCCCCCCCCTCTCCGTCACACCAGCTGCGGCCACAGGAGACGGTGGATGGGTTGAGTGCGAAGCCGGCTTTGAGGAGTCCCAAAGTTATATTACTATCTCCCAAACCCAACGCCCCTGTCCCCCCTTCCATCACTCCAGCTGCGGCCGCAGGAGACAGTGGATGGGCTGAGTGCGAAGCTGGGGTGCGGTGTAGCGGTGGTGGACGTCAACGACCTCAAGAAAGTGCAGATCCTCGCTGTGAGTGCTGCGATGTGTGGATGGCTAGCGAGCGGTGACGAGGGGTGACGAGGGGTGACGAGGGGTGACGAGGGGTGACGAGGGGTGACGAGGGGTGACGGGCGAATGAACCTGGGCTGTGAAGTAGCGGGGGTGGATGTGAAAGGGCTGAAGCGAGTGCAGATCGTGGCAGTTGGAGTGCGAGGACTCACAGGGTAGTGGGAAGTGAAAGGGTTTAGCTCATCCCATACTGCATGTCACATGCCCCATGCCACATGCCCCATGCCGCATGCCCTGTGCCACATATCTAATACCCCACATGCCATGCCCCATGTCCCATGTCCCCTGCACGGCTGTGGCCAGGCATCATCGGGAGTGGACCATGAGAGGCTCACAGCGGCACTGCTCTCCAACCCGGCAGGTGAGGCACAGGGGCTCACATCACACACAGGTGTTCAGTGCGGTGCAGAGGTCGACTCGCTGCTGTTGACAGCCCGACCACTCACTGTAACCATTGCTGCTTGGTGTGTCATGGACTCGTGGCAGGGAATGCGGAGGAGCAAACGCCGATAGTCATCGTGCGTGGATGCAGCAAGTCATGATGATCCCAGCCAGCTCGTTCAGGCGCCTCACAGATGCCTCGCATCGCATACCTCGTTGTATCTCAGTTGCACTGGCTGGCATAGCAAGAGTGCTTCTGGTATTCACAATCACATCATACTCTGGCTTGTCTGTAGTTGCAGTCCATCAATACATATTGTCAGGAGTTGCTAGCATAGATGCTGTGCTGATGCTGCTGTAGTTTATCATTCTGGGGTAGGTAGGTAGAACCATTCTGATTGGTGGCTTTAGTTCGCAACACTGCAAGTCCCAATAAGAGCATGGCTTTACCATGAGAAAGAAGCGTGTCATAATCGTCGTACCGGTTTACCGCACAGCGCATATCACCAATCAGTGTACACTGTAGATCGGCCAATCCCAGCATCACAGCAGCGGCTTGGCTTCGGGATCGAGGTCCTCCTTGTCATCCTTGGAGCCCCCTGATGGCATCGTGCCCAGTCCTATGTGGCCCTTGAGAGGTGTTGAGTTCTTGGGAGGCGTGGCTCCTGGGGAGGGGGTGAGGAGGGCACGGAGAAGGAATAAGGAACAGGAAGAAAGAGGCATGGTGCCCAGCCATATGAGCCCATTGAGGGGCATCGAGCTCTTGGGAGGGGTGGCTCCTGGGGGAAAAGAGGGCACATGAGTTGGGTTGAGTCGGGTCAAGGAGTTGAAAATGCAGAGGCATGGGACCCCCAGCCCTAAGTGGCTACTGCGGGGCGTGGAGATTTTGAGGGGAGTGATTCCTGGGGAGGAGCGGGTGCATTGCAGGGAGGTGTTGAGTGAGTGGAGGATGGGGAAAGGGGAAAGATGGTTCCACTGGGAAAACGCTGAGCGAAGGCCACAGCACAGCGGGAGCATGTGAAGGCCACAGCACAGCGGGAGCATGTGAAGGCCACAGCACAGCGGGAGCATGTGAAGGCCACAGCACAGCGGGAGCATGTGAAGGCCACAGCACAGCGGGAGCATGTGAAGGCCACAGCACAGCGGAGCATGTGAAGGCCACAGCACAGCGGGAGCATGTGAAGGCCACAGCACAGCGGGAGCATGTGAAGGCCACAGCACAGCGGGAGCATGTGAAGGCCACAGCACAGCGGGAGCATGTGAAGGCCACAGCACAGCGGGAGCATGTGAAGGCCACAGCACAGCGGGAGCATGTGAAGGCCACAGCACAGCGGGAGCATGTGAAGGCCACAGCACAGCGGGAGCATGTGAAGGCCACAGCACAGCGGGAGCATGTGAAGGCCACAGCACAGCGGGAGCATGTGAAGGCCACAGCACAGCGGGAGCATGTGAAGGCCACAGCACAGCGGGAGCATGTGAAGGCCACAGCACAGCGGGAGCATGTGAAGGCCACAGCACAGCGGGAGCATGTGAAGGCCACAGCACAGCGGGAGCATGTGAAGGCCACAGCACAGCGGGAGCATGTGAAGGCCACAGCACAGCGGGAGCATGTGAAGGCCACAGCACAGCGGGAGCATGTGAAGGCCACAGCACAGCGGGAGCATGTGAAGGCCACAGCACAGCGGGAGCATGTGAAGGCCACAGCACAGCGGGAGCATGTGAAGGCCACAGCACAGCGGGAGCATGTGAAGGCCACAGCACAGCGGGAGCATGTGAAGGCCACAGCACAGCGGGAGCATGTGAAGGCCACAGCACAGCGGGAGCATGTGAAGGCCACAGCACAGCGGGAGCATGTGAAGGCCACAGCACAGCGGGAGCATGTGAAGGCCACAGCACAGCGGGAGCATGTGAAGGCCACAGCACAGCGGGAGCATGTGAAGGCCACAGCACAGCGGGAGCATGTGAAGGCCACAGCACAGCGGGAGCATGTGAAGGCCACAGCACAGCGGGAGCATGTGAAGGCCACAGCACAGCGGGAGCATGTGAAGGCCACAGCACAGCGGGAGCATGTGAAGGCCACAGCACAGCGGGAGCATGTGAAGGCCACAGCACAGCGGGAGCATGTGAAGGCCACAGCACAGCGGGAGCATGTGAAGGCCACAGCACAGCGGGAGCATGTGAAGGCCACAGCACAGCGGGAGCATGTGAAGGCCACAGCACAGCGGGAGCATGTGAAGGCCACAGCACAGCGGGAGCATGTGAAGGCCACAGCACAGCGGGAGCATGTGAAGGCCACAGCACAGCGGGAGCATGTGAAGGCCACAGCACAGCGGAGCATGTGAAGGCCACAGCACAGCGGGAGCATGTGAAGGCCACAGCACAGCGGGAGCATGTGAAGGCCACAGCACAGCGGGAGCATGTGAAGGCCACAGCATGGGCACAGCGGGAGCATGTGAAGGCCACAGCACAGCGGGAGCATGTGAAGGCCACAGCACAGCGGGAGCATGTGAAGGCCACAGCACAGCGGGAGCATGTGAAGGCCACAGCACAGCGGGAGCATGTGAAGGCAGGGGAGAGGAGAGACGAGCACGTACGGGCACTGGGGTCAAAGAGCTGCAGCTTGCTGGGGTCCCCTCCAAAGTCTTTAGTATCATGCAGCAGGTACATGCCGATGAGGATGGTGAGGAGAGAGGAAACGTGACACGCAGAGGCAGGGAGGGACTTGCGCACAGCAGAGAACGTTAAGGGGTTTCACGTACGCGCTGAGGGGTCGAAGAGGTGCAGTTTGCTGGGGTCGCCCCCAAAGTCTTTCGTGGCGTGCAGAAGGTACGTGCCGATGAGGATGGTGAGGAAGCCGCACGTCTCCATGAGCACCTGCTCGCCCGTCTGCCCCGCCCAGTCCTTGTACATTATCACCGACGCCACTATGGTGAGCGTGGTGAACATCACATAGTAGATGGGCGTGACCACCGCCGTGTTGAAGGTGTCCAGCGACTGCAGGGCGTGTGAGTTTGTATGAAGGGGAAAGATAGGGCACAGTTATGCAGTGCTTCACTATGGTGAGCGCCGTGAACATCACATAGTAGATGGGCGTGACCACCGCAGTGTGGAAGATGATGGATGATGGAAAATGGAAGATGGAAGAGGGACGAGGGAAGAGGGAAGAGGGAAGAGGGAAGAGGGAAGAGGGAAGAGGGAAGAGGGAAGAGGGAAGATGGAAGAGGGAAGAGGGAAGAGGGAAGAGGGAAGATGGAAGAGGGAAGAGGGAAGAGGGAAGGTGGAAGGGGGAAGAGGGAAGAGGGAAGAGGGAAGAGGGAAGAGGGAAGAGGGAAGTGGGAAGAGGGAAGAGGGAAGAGGGAAGAGGGAAGAGGGAAGAAGGAAGAGGGAAGAAGGAAGAGCGAAGAAGGAAGAGGGAAGACAGAAGACGGAAGACAGGAGAGGGAAGAAGGAAGAGGGAAGATGGAAGATGGAAGATGGAAGAGGGAAGAAGGAAGAGCGAAGAAGGAAGAGGGAAGAAGGAAGAGGGAAGAGGGAAGATGGAAGAGGGAAGAGGGAAGAGGGAAGGTGGAAGGGGGAAGAGGGAAGAGGGAAGAGGGAAGAGGGAAGAGGGAAGAGGGAAGAGGGAAGAGGGAAGTGGGAAGAGGAAAGAGGGAAGAGGGAAGAAGGAAGAGGGAAGAAGGAAGAGCGAAGAAGGAAGAGGGAAGACAGAAGACGGAAGACGGGAGAGGGAAGAAGGAAGAGGGAAGATGGAAGATGGAAGATGGAAGAGGGAAGAAGGAAGAGCGAAGAAGGAAGAGGGAAGAAGGAAGAGGGAAGAGGGAAGATGGAAGAGGGAAGAGGGAAGAGGGAAGGTGGAAGGGGGAAGAGGGAAGAGGGAAGAGGGAAGAGGGAAGAGGGAAGAGGGAAGAGGGAAGAGGGAAGAAGGAAGAGGGAAGAAGGAAGAGCGAAGAAGGAAGAGGGAAGACAGAAGACGGAAGACGGGAGAGGGAAGAAGGAAGAGGGAAGATGGAAGATGGAAGATGGAAGAGGGAAGAAGGAAGAGCGAAGAAGGAAGAGGGAAGAAGGAAGAGGGAAGAAGGAAGAGGGAAGAAGGAAGAGGGAAGATGGAAGATGGAAGATGGAAGGCGGAAGACATTTTCGACAGGCTACCCGCGTTTGTGTGCTTCTTCGAGCGGCGTTTGAACGCAAGTGTTAAAACGCAAAAGGCTCGCCCGAGCGTTCTTTCCAACATTGCAGGGTCACGACGGCCAAGCTGATTTGTCCGGAGCCGAAGAGGCTGGTCGAATCAGTTCATGCGAGAAGAGCACATTCGAATCAGAGTAGAAAACCCGTGATGCGCGGCCAGGCCAGCAATACACGCGCCTTGTTGAGGCACGCACAGAAAGGGCTACCAGAGAAGCACGGTCAGAGTAAAACGCACCTTGTTGAGGTAGTTGATCTGCGTGACGGCGCAGGCAGCGAGCACAATGGCGAAGAAAGTGGTTTCGGGGTACAGCAGCTGGTTGTCGCCGTACAGCGTCAGCTTCACGGCAATCCCTAGGGCCTTGCAGCTTGCCACCTGGCAGGCAGCACAGGGAAGGGAAGCACACATGCAGCGGCAGCAGAGGGAGGAAACATGAAAGCACGATGAGAAAGAAGGCGCTTACGGGGTAGACGAGGTGGCCGTCATTCAGATGCAACCTATGCCATGCAGGGCAATGACGCGGAAAGCACCGGATAGTCAAGCACGGCACAACACAGCAGCCTGGGCGTGCACTGATATGGAATCAAGGAAGGGACGTATTCCAGGGTGAGCAGACTGCTGCGTGCGTGCACTCACCGATATTGATCCGAGCAGGGAGCAGATGGCGATGTAGACGAGCACGTTGGTGGTGCCGTAGCGGGGCACTAAGACTGTGATGAGGAACACACTGAGCGCCAGAGCCGTGGCTGAATACGTCACGAAGGCTGGGGAAGGATGAAGGGGGGGGTTGGGAGAAGGGGGGGAGGGGAGGGGGATTGGGGAGGTGAACGAGGATGTGAATGAAGCAAGTGAGGAGAGTGAAGAGGGGCACGCTGAGGGCCATCGCCGTGATTGAGCAGGTTAGGAACCGTGGGAGGCGGGAACACACTGAGGAGTGGATGGATCATGGGGAAATGAAGGGGGGGGGGGGATGCAGAGGCGCTGGATGGAAATGGGGGGTGACAATTGGAAGGACAGAAGGCGATGAGGAACAACACGGAGGGCCAAATGCATGGCTGAACACGCCACGAGTGGTGTGAGGGAGAAGGTGCGGGGTGAAAAGACACCACTGCACACACAGCCAGCCGTACCTGGTTCAGTCGCCAGAGCCCAGAGCTGCTTGACGTTCTCGATATCCTTCTCCTGAGGCGAGTGCAGCACGATAGCGATGGACCCCACCACGCACAGCGTCGCGCCCAGCCACCCAAACACGTGCAGCTTCTCGTCCAGCAGCAGGTGCGCTAGGATGGCACTGGGAGGGGGGGGGGGGAGCAGGTGATAGGAGGAGAAGATAGAGGCTAATGAGAGCCACCCAAACACGTGCAGCTTCTCGTCCAAGAGCAGATGCGCTAGGATGGCGCTGGGGGGGAGGAAGGGGGGCAATAAGGGGTGGGGGAGGACGGGGAACAGGTTGTGTGAAGGGAAGGGGGAGGCAGATGAGTGTCGGCCACCCAAACACGAGCAGCTTCTCGTCCAGCAGCAGATGCGCTAGGATGGCGCTGTGAGAGGGGGGGAGGGGGGAGCGTGGGGGGGACAGGATTTAGGGGTGGGGAAGCAGCCACCCAAACACGAGCAGCTTCTCGTCCAGCAGCAGATGCGCTAGGATGGCGCTGTGAGAGGGGGGGAGGGGGGAGCGTGGGGGGGACAGGATTTAGGGGTGGGGAAGCAGCCACCCAAACACGTGCAGCTTCTCGTCCAGCAGCAGATGCGCTAGGATGGCGCTGTGAGAGGGGGGGAGGGGGGAACGTGGGGGGGACAGGATTTAGGGGTGGGGAAGCAGCCACCCAAACACGTGCAGCTTCTCGTCCAGCAGCAGATGCGCTAGGATGGCGCTGTGAGAGGGGGGGAGGGGGGAGCGTGGGGGGGACAGGATTTAGGGGTGGGGAAGCAGCCACCCAAACACGTGCAGCTTCTCGTCCAGCAGCAGATACGCTAGGATGGCGCTGTGAGAGGGGGGGAGGGGGGAGCGTGGGGGGACAGGATTTAGGGGTGGGGAAGCAGCCACCCAAACACGAGCAGCTTCTCGTCCAGCAGCAGATGTGCTAGGATGGCACTGTGTGGGGGGGCGGGGGGGTGGGGGTGGGGGACATTAGTGGGGCAGGGGGGGGGGATGGGGCGACGGCGGATGTGTGATGGTGGGGGAAGAATGGAACTGGTGAGAGGCAGCTAGTGGGCACGTGTAGCTCCAGGCGAGGAGGGGAGAGGAAACGGAGGGGTGACAAGTGGCCGTTGAGAGAGAGACAGGACGGAGGCGAGTGGCAAAACATGAAGGCTGGATGGGGAGAGGATGGAGGAGTGGGCAGGTAGCACTTGAGGCATTCTACCCTTTCTACAGAGTACGTTTGGCTCAAGTTGCAGAAAGAGGTGAGGGTGAGAACGCACCTGTCGATGATGCTGAGAGCACCAAGCGGTGAGAGCGCACCTGACGATGATGCTGAGAGCACCAAGCGGTGAGAGCGCACTTGACGATGATGCTGAGAGCACCAAGCGGTGAGAGCACACCTGACAATGATGCTGAGAGCACCAAGCGGTGAGAGCGCACCTGACGATGATGCTGAGAGCACCAAGCGGTGAGAGCGCACCTGGCGATGATGCTGAGAGCACCAAGCAGTGAGAGCGCACCTGACGATGATGCTGAGAGCACCAAGCGGTGAGAGCGCACCTGACGATGATGCTGAGAGCACCAAGCGGTGAGAGCGCACCTGACGATGATGCTGAGAGCACCAAGCGGTGAGAGCGCACCTGACGATGATGCTGAGAGCACCAAGCGGTGAGAGCGCACCTGACGATGATGCTGAGAGCACCAAGCGGTGAGAGCGCACCTGTCGATGATGCTGAGAGCACCAAGCGGTGAGAGCGCACCTGACGATGATGCTGAGAGCACCAAGCGGTGAGAGCGCACCTGACGATGATGCTGAGAGCACCAAGCGGTGAGAGCGCACCTGACGATGATGCTGAGAGCACCAAGCGGTGAGAGCGCACCTGACGATGATGCTGAGAGCACCAAGCGGGGTCACCAGAATGGCCGGGGCGAAGGCATACGCCGCGAAGTTGGCAAACTCCCCCAACACCACTGATGGATGGGCATATAGTCACATCGGTGCATAGTCACATGGGGGACAAGCACACGAGACTTAGAGAAGTAAAAGTGAGTGGGGAAAAGGGAGGAAGTGGATGGGGAAAAGAGGGGAGTGTGGATGGGGGAAGCGGGGAGTGAGAGGGCACAGGAGGAAGGCTGAGGGGAGGGGTGCACAAGAGCGCTGTGAGGATTCAATAGTGGCTTGGCTTGGATGTGGACACTGAGTGGGGATGCAGGCAAAGACACTTGTATGGAAGATGCGGAGGGACGGAGGTGGGAAGCAGAGAGTGATAGGAGGAAGGGGGAGGGCGGGTGGAGGGATGAGGAAAGGGAGGGGGAGAAGAGAGGGAACTCACTGGAGATCATGCCGACCCACCACAGCGGCTCCTTGAGGTACGAATGGCCGCCCATGCCTGTGCACGCATGCACGCACACCATGCATGCACGCACACCATGCATGCACGCACACCATGCATGCACGCACACCATGCATGCACGCACACCATGCATGCACGCACACCATTCACACGTCATCCATCGACACGCGAAATGAGTCAGCCGATCCCCACAACAGCCTTCCGGGGCCAGAAAGCAAGCCAGGAGATGAGCAATTGGACGGTCTGGTCTGGACAAAAAGACTGCTGCCTCAGCAAGCCAACTGCTCTCACCCCCACCGGCTGTAACACCCACTGGTTTTTTCCCTTCCCCCTCCCCCCCCCCATCCCCGCACTGGCTCTGACGCCAATCCCCCACCGGCCCTGATGCCAATCCCCCACCGGCCCTGATGCCAATCCCCCACCGGCCCTGATGCCAATCCCCCACCGGCCCTGATGCCAATCCCCCCCATCCCCCATCCCCATCCCCCATCCCCCACGCACACACGCACCGGCTCTGATGCCGGAGACGGCGGACATGCGGAGGGCCTTCTTCTTGACGATGAAGCTGCCGCCGATGAACACGCTCGACGCGATCGCCAGCACCAGCCCCTTGCTCCGGTCGTCCATGGCGCCGCGCCCTACCACCCCCTCTAACCTTCGCGAATCCTTACGAACCCCCTCTAGTCCCTGCGAAACGTTACAAACCCCCTCAATTCCCCGCCAATTACTCTGCACGGGTCCCCTCGTATCCCCGCTGCTGCACCGACCCTGGTGCTCGATTCGAGTGAAGGGTCTACTTCGGCAATTGGTCGTGTTCGACTCGAGTACAGGGCCTAATCTCCCACTAAAACGCAGAGCGATCCTCAGCGCTGCCGCTTCCCCTGTTGACTCACAAACAACTCAGCCTCTCGAGAGTCGGATCTCCTCGGGTGCAAGGCCTCACAGCCTTGGCGGCGGAGCCACACAGCGACATCGCACGCATCCAGCGACTACCGATACATCTGACGAGTAGGTCAATGGGGATGATGCCGGCGAGGGAGGGACGACAGACAGCGGCTGGCACCGAGGACCAGCCGTGATCGCACCGGGAGGGAGGTACCCCTCTGCCACTCGGATTCCGAACGAACCCAGGGATCGGTAATATCGAGGCGGACAGCGGGAGTGGACAAACCCGGGGGAGAATCAGCAGCAGCTGCGAGAAGCAGTGTGAGTGACGCAAGCAAGCAGCAGCTTTGGAAATCACAGCCCTGGTCACAGTGATATGTATGGCAAAACGGGGCACGCCACGCCACGGGTCTCAACGGGGTGGTGGTCTCAGCAGCAGACTCACCACCACCAATATGAGCACCGAAACTGCTGATTGGTGCAGCGAGCAGGGGAGGTTGACTTCCTGCGACAAGACAGTCACCATCCCTCGCACCGTTCGCTCACGGCTGTCAGCGAATGGAGTGCGCCCTGCTCGCTGGCATGATTTCTAGGTGGTCGCGCATATCGTAACACCGAGAACTAAAAACAATTTCCCAATCAATCCCGTATTCTAAAATGCAGCCCATCACAGCTGCAAAAATGTTACTCCCCACCCCAATATGTACGAAAAGCTGTCAAGCCAAAAAGAACGCCTACACGATAAGCATAACTTCTCAGAACGTTCAAACCACGAAGCACTGTGCACGTGGTTCCAGCAGAAGGCTTGATTCTACGAGGAAGCTCCCAGTGACATCCATTCAATGGCCTTTCATCCTTCTCCACACAGAATGTCAATTACACTGCAGGGGGCTTGGACTTGAAAGCCCAAAGCTGCAGAGTGTGAGTTAGAAGCCCAATGTAACTCTGCTCATTAGAGTAGCTGAAGCAGACCTCCAGCCTGCTCCCCTTTCTGCTGCTGTTGTTGCAGCTGCCGCTGCTGCTGCTGCTGCTGCTGTTGCTGTTGCTGTTGCTCCTGCTCCTGCTGCAGCTGCTGCTGTTGCTGTTGCTGTTGCTCCCCTGGCCCCTGTTGCTGCTTGGAGCTGTCATCTGAAGCAGCAGCAGAGAAGGCGGCAAGTGGAGGCGGTCCATCAAGTACCTCTGCTGCACTTGGGGAGCCCATTGATTCCCATTCACCTCCCACTCCTGCAAAAGACACATAGAAACATGAAGGCACATGTCAGCAAACCAGTAAACAACAGGGAGATGGTGGGGAGAGTGGCCCAAGGGCAGAAATCAATTTATAGAAACGTACGCACATCCTTGAAAAGTCATTGCGAATTAGCAGCTACAGGCGAGGCCAAGGCAACAAGTGTGGGAATCGGCGGCGGCGCTCACAGAAGGCAGAGGGAAACGAAGAAGGGGGCAAATCGCAAGCGCACTAGCAGAAGGGGTTGGTGGAAACCGCACCCGACGCAAAATCCGCACGGGGGCCATTCACCCCATGGCCGTTCACCCCCGCTCCGCGCGCCACAAATCTCGCAGCTGCAGAAATCGGCGAGTGCACCAGCTTTGGCCGCCGCGCGACGGGCGCCACAAGCGGCGGGCTGCCACAGGGGCTCGTGTCCTCGGGACTCCGGCTCGTCTTGGTGCCGCTCGTGCCGCTCGTGACAGGCGACAGGCACCCCGACGGGCTCCCCGCCTGGCACACTGATGACCCCGACAGCCGCGGCGCAGCCAGCAGGCCCGCTTTGGCGAACGGCTGCGGCTGGAAGGCGGCGGGGATGGGGATGGCGAACGCGCTGCTCCCCCCAGGAGCCTCCCACATCCCCCCCATTGGAGTCGAACCGCTCAGCATCGCTGCGCCTCCTCCCCCTCCCGCGCCCGCTCCTATCCCCCCGTAACTCGCCACCCACGCGCCTCCGCCGAACCCCATGTGTGCGGGGGGCTTGGCGGAAAGCCCCCCGCCACCGGGTCCGCCGCCCGGGGCAGCTGCGCCTCTGCCCGTGAGCCGCGCTCCCGCGCACGATGCGGCGGAGCGGGGATCGGTAGCGGTGGCGGTCGGGGGGCAGAACGAGCGGGCGCCAAGCGCGGGAAGGGCTCCCGCGCAGTTCGCTTGCGCCAGCGCGGAATGCTCTTGCGCTTGCGCGATATCTTGCTCCGACTGCTGCTGCTGCTGTTGATCTTGGGATTGCTGCGCGTTGGCATCTTGCTGCTGACTCTGCTGCTGTTGCGCCGCAGCTGCCGCCGCCGCATGCGGATGCGCGTAATGCTGTTGGTACAACGCCCGTTGATACGCCGCCGCCGCCGCTGCAGCCGCCTCCGCCGCAGGGCCACCCGGCTGACCTGCCGCCATGAACGGAGCCTGACCCATGCCCGCCACCTGGCCGCACACCATTGGCTGCAGCCCACCCATCGTCATCCCGTGCATCATCCCCGGCGGCGGCGGCGCAACCCCCGCGCCGATCATCCCGGGCGCCACTCCGGGCGCAGTAGCCCCGGGGGGGCGGAGAGGCCCGGAAAAGGCGGCGGGCCCGGCGCTGCAGAGGGCCAGTAGGCCATAGTGGCGGCGGGCTGCATCATATCCATGGCGGCCGCAGTTGCCGCTGCGGCGGACCCCATGGCGACGTTCCCCATGGTCTGCTGGTACATGGCGGCGGTCGCCGGCTGGTACATGGACTGCGCCGCGTACATGTGCTGCAGATGCATCATCTGCTGCTGCTGCTGCTGCAGGTGCTGCTGCTGCTGATGCTGCTGCTGATGCTGCTGATGCTGCTGCTGCTGCTGCTGATGCTGCTGCTGCTGCTGCTGCTGCTGCTGTTGCTGCTGCATGTGCTGTTGCTGTTGCAAGTGCTGCACGTGTCCCGGATGCATCCCAAACGGCACCATTGACGATCCCGCCGACGCCGCCGCCGCAGCAGCCGCCGTCGCGCCCGGAAGCGCCGGAAGTGGCGACGCGGAGATCCCAAGGCGGTGGTTTGCCAACCCGGCGGCGGCAGCGGCGGGGAGAGGCGGGGAGGACGCGCCCCCGGCGACGGCGGTGGTTCCGGACGTCGTTCCGGACGTGGCGGGCGCGGATGCGGGAGTGGGGACCATCACAACCGCAGCGCTAGCCGTCGGCAGGGTGGCTGCCGCGGAAGGCAGCGCGGTGGACTGGGGAGGCGCTGCTGCGGAGGCCGCTGCGCCGTTGAGTGCGCCGGTTGTCGCGGCGCTTCCAGGCGCGGCTGCGTTGGCGGCGTTGGGGTGGATGGAGCCGCCGCGAAGGACGGTGTCGACGGCGGACTCGCAGAGGTGCCACTGGCCCGTCCACAGCAGCCCCGCGCAGCCGAAGACCGGGTTGATGGTGCGCCCGCACGCCTCGAACAGCAGCGACTGAAATAACGCTGCCGGGGGGAGGGGAAGAGGACAGGAATGCGGGAGGATGGGACGATCAGTGAGATATGACGCTCATCTCATACTATGGAATTGATTAGGAATTAAACTAAGCGTATGCAGCGTGACTGGACCGGAAGAATTCGACCTCCAAAGGACGGTGGGAGACAGAGGAGACTAGGAAGAAGGTGCGCGGAAGCTACGACGTGATGTGATCGAGGCGTACGACCGAAGCTCGCTGGCGTTTGCCTTGCGAAGCTGTGAGCGAGAAAGACGAAATGGGTACCTGGGCGTTGGCCCTCCTCGACGGCAGTGACGAAGCCCATGAGGCCCGCGCGGCCGAAGAACTTGGCGAGGAACAGCGTTGCGTGGCCTTGCGCCTCCGCGCCCTCGATCCCCCCCAGGCAATGCCGCAGCACGCAGCTCTCGCTGCAGCCCTTCCGCAGGACTCTACATCCGTTGCAACTCATTCTGCTCTCGGATCTAGATCGCTCGACCAGGTAGCTATGGACAATTAGCCTAGGCGATCACTTGAGGGAGTAAAGGTGGTAACTTTTTCGCTCAGTTGGCCATCAGAGGGTGAGGGTTTTGGGATGCACGCCCTTGCAGACGGCTGACCTGCCTGGTTTTGGTAGTTGCAAACAGAGGTGCGGAGCAAGAGAAAGAATCAGGGAGCAAAGGAGCTTCTAATGATCAGGGTACACGTTCATGGACAGGCCTGGCTTGATCCGAGGCAACCACCAACACCCAAGCGGCGCCAGGGGGTGTGCTGGCCAGGGGGTTTGCCCTGCTCGGTATGGTTTGGTTTGGTTTGGTGTATGTCCTGTATCGCGAGCGGACCAGTGAACCGAGCACCCAGGCTCACACACACAGCAGCACCTGAGCTGATTTGTCGAGTGTTCCCCCTAGCTCGCTCTCCTGGTAGGGGCAGGCTTGCTTGTTGGGATCTGGAGGGATGGGAGATAGGCCGAGACGCGCGGTGATGAGAGTGGGGGGGAGAACTGCCACTGATTGGCAAGGGAACAGACGCAGTGCAACATGCCCCCCGACCCGAACAGTGACACGCCGCTGCCGAGTCACTTGCAGCGCAGGTGACGTACTCACACGCATGATCACATCACTCTCTCGTACACACTTGCGTCATCGGCGAATCCATACCGTCAGTTCTTGTTCGTTTGTGCGATAAGGCCTTATCCTGAACGTCACCGACGACGTTGCTGACGTAGCACTTCTCTTTTCCTCCATCGGATTTGGATGGGAAAGGATGGCGGAGAGCGACAATCATGCTTCAGGATTGGCTGGGCAGCCACAGGAAGATCGCCACTTTCGGCTCACTTTCCAAATGTTTGGCGAGGAATGCGTAGCTCATTCGCCCGGGGGAAAGCCTGTGCCCAATATTTCTGGAGGCTTCTGAGGTCCTCAAGGGGCGGAAGGCGGGAAAACATACTTGGCGGATTCCAACCTCGTATCGTGGCTGGAATGGTTGATGTGGGCTGGCTGCCGCCACACGCACGCCTGAGCCACGCTGTACAATAGCCAGGTCGGATGAATGGCACGTCAGCCTCACGGCTCACTGCTGCTTGGTAAGCTGGGGTAGGTTTGGAGAATCCGGACCTCAGGTACGGGAAATCTTAATCGTTTCCATCTGGCTCCACCGAATGCAGGGAGGCATCTTGCGATGGATCAGGAAATGCACGAACTGGACTCAGCATGGTTCCATGCTTCGCCTACCGCTTCCTCTCAATTGTGCTGAGTGGAGTGCTGACATTTCCAACACAATATGGGTAACGACCACAAGCAAACTTAGATGTATGGAAAATGCATAAATAGACCAGAGAGTAGACAATAAACTCCTTGTCATTTCTTATATCAACCGCCTAACACACAGCCGCTGCCTGAAATCGTATCCGCCACACGCACATGCACTTACTTCTTTCAGGTAACTCAACATAATGGAACGCGGTTGGTACGTTGAGCTCATACCCTCATGGAGCTCCATGGAAACAACTTCTTCTCCGTAATAATTATTTATATGCTTTAATTGTTGAACATGTCTGTATATGTAACTATATGCTAGATAGGTGCGTACTCTTAGAGAGTACATCCTCTTAGCAAAAACCAACCATGTATCTCTCATTCTACTCAATTTCGTTACTCTGAGATGGTATTTGTTGGAAATATCTCAAAGGACTTGAGCGTTTCTGAAGTGTAACACTACACTCGAGGAAGATCGCAACGGGTACGCGAGTCAACGGAGGATTACACGAGGGGACGGACAAAGAACGCAAAGGGACTCGAAGGGTCACACCTGGAGGTTGCGACTGACAGTTACAACAGCGCGGATGGTAACCGAAGCAACAATCGAGTCGCTGTGCGACTCGATAACCGTTCCTGCAACAGTATTCTACAACTGCTTTCTTATTCTCTATATATTGCTGTATGCTTGTTTCTTTAATCAATCACTTGTTCTCATATACTAGTACAAGGGTTCAACTGCCTCAACTTCCGTTGCACTACTCAAGTCTCATTCTACAACTGGGACTTAGTCTCTGGAAAGATCCTAAGGGCTTTTCTCAGCCCAACATGGTATGAGAGCTGGTCAGAGACCAAACTCCCAGCAACTACGCTCTATCTACAATCTGCAATTCAACGACTTCATTACAAGCCATGGACAGCAAGGGCAAGAAGACCCCTACGGGCTCACCCAGCGCCCAAGACATTCAACTCGGCAACTCTGGATTGCATACTTCAGGACTGCAAACCGAGACCGGCACTGCTCAAGAAACAACAGGAAGAGCACCGGAAATGGTGACCCCATCACCCTCTTCAAGCGTGGATCCGAATCTTATGGAAAGGTTCTTCAGCTTCATGTCGCACTTCGAGCAGCAGCAGCAGACAAGGACACCTGCGCATTCAACACAGAGCAACGGAGGAAACATGGGATTAGCGCCGATGAGCCTCGACAATTCATCGTTCGGGCGACACAATCAAGCGCCTACCTTTGCGCCTTATCACTCTTCACCGGGGACGTTCGAGTTCATGCCGCCCCGTGCCCAACCAACAGCAGCTGCATCACAACAAACACCAAACGAGATTTTAAGTCTCCAGGCGCAGTTTTCACACGTGATTAAACTGCAGACATCATCATCATTCAACGGACGCGATTTCTTTACCTGGAGTTTTGAGTTCGAGCTGCTGATGGAGGCTGCACATCTCCTGGGATACTTCAACGGGTCCCTGCCATTCCCAAGCAACGGCACTGCAAAGGAGCAAGAAATATTTACTTATCAGTCGCTGCTGGCGTACACAGTTCTCCTGCGGAACCTGTCACCACAAGAACAGCAGAGCATCAGAACATATTGGAGCTATGGAAACTCCGCGGAACTCGCATGGCATCATCTCAAGTGTCTTTATCAAGCAAATGACAGTGTGACACAAAGCAGACTCATGCAACAACTGACAACAATACAGATGAAGACCGGGGAAAAGGCGATGCAGTATATGAGTCGCTGCCAGACCCTCTGCGACCGCCTGCTTCGGTGCGGAGGAACAATCACTGAAGAAAGCTTCGTGTCCTCGCCGGGCTCGGGCCAGAATGGAGAACCACACGCTCGCTTCTTCGCGCCCACGGCAGGATCTCGGAGATGCACCTCTGCGCCGAGCTTCATGCTGAACAACAGGAGATGGACCTGTTCGAAGAAAGACAACCAAGAAAGCACCAGCAGTTAGTTTTCTACACTCAACGAAGGAACGACACCAACTACAATCGACGCGGCAAGCAAGATCAACGCGACAACAGAGGACTCACCATCGTGCCGCCGTTTTGCCACAACTGTCAGACTTCCGGACATTCCAAAGTCAACTGCACACGTCCTCGTGTTTATCGTCCAGTAGACCCACACGTCGCCTCCACTCAAGAAAGCCCTCCAAGGCGCTCCTCCACATCTGCACAAGGGACACCGAACATCATTAACTGCATGGTACACATCGACAACTGCGCACCCGGATCACCACCCACCTACGCACCAGATGAAGAAGAACTTCCACCGCCGCGCTCACAAGGACTTCAGGTCAACCCGACATACGCTGCGCTCGCCAACGCCGAACCCACCGGGCGAAACACCTGGTTCTTGGACAGCTGCTGCGGTCAACACATGTGTTCTTCCGGACGCTTCGTGCAACGAGAGCGACGCCTCAACCGCGACGTCATCATCACCGTCGCCAACAACGAGAATCTGAAAACAAACAGACAAGGCGTGGTTCAGTTACAATCCATGGAGACAAATGTTATACTTCAACTCAACAAGGTCCTCATCGTCGACAACTTGGGATACAACTTACTAAGCGCAAGCCAGCTAATGGCAAAAGGAATTCACCTGGAGTGCGACTCCGACTCCAACGAGTTTCGCCTTTACCACGGGAAGGGCGGTCTCTTCATCAGTCGTGCTCTCCTGAAGTCCGGCATCTTCGTGTTGGACTTCGTCCCCGACCGCGGTACTGCCGACAGCGACGGTATCGTGTCGTTCGCCGCCTGGACACACCCACCGGATCTTGACCCCGACTTCGACCCTGACGGATTCTGGCACTCAAACACCATACCTGCAACAGAGAGAACTCGAGCATTAGCAGTCATCAGACAAGAACGACAAGTACCAGCAAGTGTTCCTTCCCAACCATCACCTGCAGTAGCAGCAGCAGGACCCAGCCGAGTACCACCACCAGTGATCCGAGGACCGCCAACCGAAGCAGATCAACTTATGCCCATCACACGAGAAGTCTGTTGAAGCCCCGCCACGGTCGTCGCGTTCTTCTCCAACACCGACATATACCACCGCTCGCCCGGGCATCGCGCTCCCGACGACATCTAGCACCAACGCCACGGACACCCTGCAAACAGTACAATACTGCAAACCATCCAAGCCGAAGTGTTAGAACGCAACGCTCTCCTAACAACAAGTGGCCAAGAACTTCGACGACCACGCGCACGGTGCTTTACGTGCCCCGAAGCCGATCTTCCCCACCAGTATTTTCCATCTCATCACAACCCAAGCGCACCTGCATACGCATCGATGGAAAAAGTCTACAGCGACATTTTAAACATGCCTCGAGAAGACACTGAAGCCGACTTCAACTATGTCATCACGTTTATCGACGCAGCAACAAGATACGTCTGGCACTACAACCTCAAGACGCGCGATCAAGCCTTCGACGCCTTCATGACATGGCTACCCATCGCCGAACGAGAATCAGGAACGAAGCTCAAAAGCTTCCAGTCAGACGGCGCACTGGAATACCAGTCACAACGCTTCAGGACCTATTTTGCGGAACGAGGAATCAGACGCCTGGTGTCTCTGCCCTACGCTCACCAGCAGCAGGGGGTCGCAGAACGCATGAACCGGACCTTGCAGACGACGATGCGAAAGCTGCTCCTGGGGATGAGACTGCCCACCACACTGTGGCCAGACGCGATGACACATGCAGTCCACCTGCACAACCTGTTGTCCTCGTCATCGCTTCCCAACAACGCATCACCGCACCTGCTGTGGACACAAAAAAGGGGCAGCACAAAATTACTTCTAGTTTTCGGCTGCATGGTACAGTACCGACCCCACACAGCCCGAGCAGGACGCTTCACTCAACGAGCTCGGTGGGGGCTACACCTCGGCATCGCA